AGGTCTCTACATAGTCCAAGCTGGGCTAGAACATGTAATTCTTCTGCATCAATCTCCTGGGTATTGGATTACAGGTACATGTTATCATGCCCAATTCAGCTTGTGTGTGTGTGTGTGTGTGTGTGTGTGTGTGTGTGTGTGTGTGTGTTTGATGTAGAGTTATTTGTGCATTTCTTATTTTCGAGACAGAGTTTTGCAGTATAGGTCAGGATGGCTTCAGACTCACCATGTAGTTCATGATCAAACTCATGATGAATCTTGTCTCAGTTCACCAGGTTCTGGGATTTCAGGAACATGTCACCACACTTAACTTATTTTTGTTGTTGTTTGAGACCAGGTCTGTCTATGACCATGCTGTCTTAAACTAGATTAAAATGATCCTTCCCCTGACCCTCCTGAGTAGTTAGAACTACAGGTGTGCTCCACCTCAGATTTGTGTGTTTGGAGCTTTTGAAACAGGTACTCACTCTAGTCCAGGCTGGGCTAGAACTCACTATTTAACCCAGGCTGGCCTCAAACTTGAGGTGATGTTCCTGACCTGGCCTCCTGAGTGCTGGGGTTATAGCCATGCACCACCATACTGAGCTTTTTTTTTTTTGAGACAGGGTTTCCCTATACCGCCCCCCCCCCCCCGCTGGCCTGGAACTCACAGAGATCTGCCTGCCTCTGCCTCCCAAGGGTTGGGATTAAAGGGATGCACCACTACACCTGGCTCAAATTTTTTTGTTGTTGTTGTCTTTTTAAGACAGGGTCTCCCTGTAGCCCCAGCTGACCTGAACTCACTATGTAGACCAGGCTGGCCTTGAGCTCACAGAGATCCTCCTGCCTCTGCCTCCTGAGTGCTGGGACTAAAGGCGTGCGCCACCACGCCCGGCTTCAAATTTGTTCTTAAGACCATTTTCCTGCTGCATGCAGAATGGACTGGGGGTGAGGGAGGGCAAGACTGTAAGCAGGAAAAGCAGTTCTAGCAAGTCTTTTCCAAAGGTAAGCAATGGTGGTAGCTTTGGTAGGATGGGAATGGGCACTGTGGAGAAGGGAGGAAGATTTGAGAAAGGTTTAAAATGGGAAACAGGGGCTGAAGAGATGGCTCAGCGGTTAAGGACACTGGCTGTTCTTGCAGAAGACCTGGCTTCGAATCCCAGCACCCACATAACAGCTAAGAACTGTCTGTAACTCCAGTTCCAGGGGATCTGACAACTTCTGTCCTCCACGGGCATTGCATGACTAGGGTGCACTTACCTACATGCAGGCAATACACGCATACACATAAAATAAAAATAAATAGATCTGTCTAGGTGTTGGATCAAACATGGAAGTGATATGGGGAGAGAGGAGTGGAGGATACCACTCTGATTTCAGGATAGATATCTAAGTGGTTGGTGATAATTTTGGGTCTTGAAGTAACAAATATGCCTTCGAGATACCCCAGAGGGCAAAGAATGTTCACACATCTGTACAAGGGTCTGGTATTAGATCATTGTATGCTACTTACTGTCACAGAGTACCACAGTCTGAGTAAATTATAAACCATAAAGCATGGCTCTCAACACCTGATGAGAGCCTTGTGCTGTCAGTGTGGTGGGAGGGTGAGTGAGAAAACACTTGGGTGTGTGTGGCTGCCTTCATCCTTTCCATCAGGCTCCCACCTCCATAATGCATTAATTCATTTCTGAGGGTCAGACTCTCGTTACCAAATCATCTTTCTCTTTTTTTTTAAATTTGAGACAGGGTCCCCCTGTAGCCCCAGGTGACTTGGAACTTGCTATGTAGTCCAGGCTGGCCTTGAACTCACAGAGATCCTCTTGCCTTTGCCTCCCCAGTGCTGGGATTAAAGGCGTGCACCACCACGCTTGGCACCATATCATCTTTTTAAAAAAAATTATTTATTTTTATTTTATGTGTGTGCATGTATTTCCTGAATGTAGGTAAGTGCACCCGTGTCCTGCAATGCCCGAGGAGGTCAGAAGAGACTGTCGGATCCCCTGGGACTGAAGTTAAGGACAGTTGTTAGCTGCCATATGGCTGCTGGGATTCAAACCCGGGTCTTCTGCAAGAACAATCAATGTTCTTAACTGCTTGAGCCATCTCTTCTGCCCCCCCATATCATCTCTTAAATGTCCCACTTCATCTGGGCGTAGTGGCACATACCTTTAACCCCAGCACTTGGGAGGTAGAGGCAGGTGGATCTCTGTGAGCTCAAGGCCAACCTGGTCTACATAGTGAGTTCCAGGACAGCTGGGGCTATAGGAAGACCCTGTCTCAAAAAGACCAAAAAAAAAAAAAAAGTCCCACTTTATGGGACTAGAGAGATGGCTCAGCAGGTAAAGGCACATGCCACCAAGCCTAAAGACCTGAGTTCAATCCCTGAGACTCACTTGGTGGAAGGAGAAAACCTACTCTAGCAAGCTGTTCTCTGGCCTGTACACATGTGTGTACCCATGCACACATACATAAGCAAACAATAAATGTAATAATTCTTTTTAAAAGGTCCCACCTTTTACTGCCATTACTGTAGCAATTACATTTCAACATGAGTTTTGGAGGAGACATTCAAACCATAACAAGCAGTGTCTGAAGATACCGCCTTTTATTTTTGGAGTCTTACCATGAAGCTCAGACAGGTCTTGAACTCATGGCTATCCTCTAGCTTCAGCCTCCCAAGTTCTGAAATTACAGGTGTGTTTCACTAGGCTGAGCTGGATGCCACCATTTGAAATGGTTCCATAAGGGTGATAACTGGGAGTTTAAGGGAAATACATGAAGATCCAGGATGGTATGGCTGGGGAGGGCTGAGAGCAGCAGAGTGGACCCAGAGGGCAAGACAAAGGCAAAAGTGTTCCCTTGGAGTAATGATAGTGACTGCCTAGCATAGTTACTGGGGAATCGGGGGGATGATGAATGGGGACTTTTTGGAAGTTTGGCCAGGAGAGGCATTGAGAGGGAACATTTACACAGATTCATGGCTTTGGCGTTCAGCCATTCACCTGTCCAGAAACCTAGCCAAGGTCCATTCAGGGAAGTCAGGCCTTAACCCAGAAAGCAAGTCTTCTAGGGCTGTTCACTTGCCATCAGAAGCCTAGGTAGAGTTAGGAGAGTCTTGACTAAGCCTGGCTCTCCCCAGTCCTCCCTGATAAGCCATACACTAACCACAAAGGCTTGCATGTTGAAGGTTCATTACCCACTGGGTCATTATCTTCTTTCCCAAGGCAATGCCTTCAAGGCAAAAATGCATCTGCTCTCTAACTTCAATCCGCAGTAACTACAACCCCAGGTGAACAAGCTGAATTGCAAAAGGGCAGGAACAGCAGTCCAGAATAAGGAGGTGGCCTGTGGAATCTTTAGGAAAGAGGAAGGTGGTTCCAGAAGGGGCAAACTAGACTTCCAGGAGTTCTATATGAAACCTGTTGTTGGATCACCCTTGCCACCCATTTTTATTTATTCCAGTGACCAGACAGAAGTCAAATATTTTTTTCACTTTATTATACAAAAAAAAAAAAAAAAAAAAAAAAGGGAAAACAAAACTTCCACAATTGGCCCTAAGCAGGGGTAAGTCACCTCTAAATCACTCCCTCCCACTTCCCAAGGTGTCCCAAATTGAAGTGTGGTTACTGTTGAAACCTACAAAACACTCAAATAGAAAACTGGGGACAGAGGGTTCCCAGTGCCAAGATACACTCTGGGTGACCTCTGACAGCACCCACCCTCATCCCTAAAGACCTGACTGTAGGGTAAGGATCTTCCAATTTTTGGAACTGGAGAAAAAACGTGTTTTTGAAAACATATGTCACTAAAGCATAATAGTTCATGGGACTCAAATATAAATGGGTTTTTTGCAAGTCCTCAGGAACTTACAACCCTGGTACCTAATGCTGAGATGAGTGTGTGTGGGGTGTCATTCTTCAGACATTCCCCACCCCAGTCCAGGCAAAGATGTCCCTGCCCCCTGCCTTGCCTTTGAGAAAGAACAGTAGCTGGGCTGGAGTCCCACACTTTGATGGAGAACCCACTTTCCCATTCCTAGTTTTCATTTAGAGGGGGAAGACGAGGCAGCACAAAACCCAAGCGTAAACAAATTTTCACCAACTTAAATCATGGGTAAGGTGACTTGGCTTACGATGGATTCTGAGCTGGACTTGGTGGCACAAACCTTTAATCCCAGGACTTAGGGGGTGCGGATTGGGGGGTGAGGCAGAGGCAGGCTCGGATCTCAGTGAGTTCTAGGCTAGCCTGGATTACATAGCCAACTGAGGCTCCAGGGAGACCCTGTCTCAAAAAAAAAAAAAAAAAGGAAGTCAAGACCAGGGACTGCTGGCAACAATTAGAGGGACAGCCATAGAAATCGCCTTCTGCAGTCCCTTCCCCAGATACAGGGACTGGGGGCAAGAAGGGGAGCAGACCTGAGAAATTAAAGGAAATGGGGGTGGCCAGAGGTCACAGGTGAAGGCAGGAGTAACAAGTAGGTAAACTTCCCAGGACACTTCCTGAAGCCCAGGTTCCAGGCCCAGAAGACCCCTCAAAGGAGCTGGGAGATCTTTTCTATCAAAGAAAAGCTTTAAGGCTCATGCCATCATCTGCCCCTGTCCACCTTTCCACTGGACAGCAGGGTGCAGCAGCTCAGACACACAGCCTTGGCAGAGGCAAGCTGGTATAGGAAGCATCAGGTGGCTTCAGTGGCCTCCACAGTAGGCCCAGAGGGCAGGCACAGTGGATGATGGCAGGTCACCAAACTTTTTTCCAGATGTACAAAAATGGAGGTGGGCTCTAGGACAGAACGAACCCCTTTTCTCCTAGACATACACGGACTCGCATATCCATACATGCACCCATGCTATATACAGGGTACGTGTACACACACACACACACACACACACACACACACACACACACACCTCTCTCTTTCTCTCTTCCACACGAATCAAGACCATTTTTAAAAAGTCCCAAACCTCCCCCACTAAACCCCCTCCCACTCCCAGAAATGACAACAGAGACGGCAGCCGAGATCGGTAGGAAACGTCTCGTTGACAGCTCAGAGCTTAAAAAAAAAATATATACACATATATAAAAAACATTCTGCCCCTCCCCCACAAGCGGGTCCAGGCAGCTCCTTCCTGCAGGGGCAGGGGAGAGGGCAATGAGTGGTGCCTATTTTCTCAAAGGCAGCACCTTCCTCTCCCTCCAGTTCCAATGTGGGGGTCCAGGCAGCAAGCCCCTTTGAGAAGGAAAGGTTCCTCCCCGAACTTCCACCTTGGTGTGGGGCTGTAGGTGTGAAGGGCCTCCCTTTGGGACACTTCCCCACCCCCAAGTCCCCGGTCCACTGTCCATGCCGGAACCACAAGTGCAGAAGAGGGGTGGGGTGGGCCGGCCCAGTGCTGGCTCAGTCTGATGGTTGCTGTCCCTGGAGGACCCCCAGGGCTGATGGCTCCAAGGCTGCAGAGTCCTAGCCTGGGCTCCTGCAACCCCCTACCCCCACCGGATTTTGTTTAAAAAAAAAAAGAAAGAAAGAAAGTGGGGGAGGCTGGGGGCGGGGGACAGAACATGAGGAGAGACAAAGATGGTCAGTTGGGGAGGGGAGCTCTGTGGTGGCTCTCCTTGGCTGCCCAGGGGAATTGAGCCTCAGTTGGAGTCAGAGTCTGAGGAGTCCCCTGAAGAGGAAGAACTGGAGCTGCTGCCCTCGGACTCATTGTCTTCATCCTCATCATCATCATCATCATCATCCTCATCCTCATCGTCATCCTCATTCTGGGGGAAGAACTTGCATTCACCAAGTGGCCTTCCTTGTGGTCCACAATCCTCCCTCCCATCACATCCTGTCTACCTACCTCATCTCCGTCCTCACTCTCGTCTTCACTGCTGGACTCAGAGGAGTCCCCACCATCCTCAGAGGACTCCCCATTCTCATCATCTTCCTCTTCATCATCCTCATCATCATCATCCTCATCCTCATCTTCTTCATCCTCTTCCTCAGACTCCTGGGGAATGAAGAGGCATATCAGAAGCTGGGCAACACCCACCCCACCAGACCCTGCCTTACAGACACCCACCCATCTGGGAAGGGTTCCTTACTGATTTGGACTGCAGCGTGGCACGGCTGGACTTGGGGTTAGGGCCTCGAAGCTTGGTCATGCTCTTACGTTTCTATGAGAGAGGATAAGGATTTGAAGGGGCAACTCTGACTTCCAGCCCCTGCCAAGGCCCTCTACCTCCCACCAACTGCCCTGCTCTTATACTTACATTGGAGATGTATTCTTTGTATTTTGCACGGTCATGGGGAGACAGGCTCTGGGGAGAGAGGAGGCAAAGGTCAGAGCATTCCCACCACTACTGCTGGCTGTATATACTGACCTTCACTGAGCAGAGGGCTGATCATTCATATACCATCAATACCTGTCTTTACCCTCAGCCTTCCCCATAGTATGGGTCTTTGCAGAGACCTTGGGGGCTCAGAACAGCTCTTCTTTCTACTTCTGCCACAAGGTAGAAGAGGCTCTGAGTCACCCTGAACCGACACCCAGTTTTCATATCAAGTTCCTCTAACTGCTATGCTCAAATGGCAGCTCCACATTCAGGGTCTTCCTCAACTTCACTATCCATCCCATGATGAATCATGAGGCCTGGCATCAATTCCACCCCCACCTCAAGTCTTTGAGCCAATGATGAGATGATGCGGCTTCACAAATTCTAGAATACCTAATCCCTACCTGGGTCCTTGGCCTGTTGTGTGATGGGGGTAGTGGAAAAATTCAGGTGATTTCCCTTCCTTTACAGATCTGACAGCTCAAAGCACAGAGGAGAAGCTCAAGAGGCTGAAAGCTTAGCCAGGGCCTAGGAGAAGTCTCCTGGTCCTGGCTGGAAGGCGGAAAAGGCAGTCTGATCTGATTTGAATTTTCTACTTACTATGTAACCTTGGGCAAATTACTTAACCTCTGAGTCTTGGTTTCCTCAGCTTTAAAAGTACCCATTACCCTGTAGGACTACTGTATCACTGGAGGAAATCATACATGAGGACCAGCTAGAATGATTCCTCCCTTTCCCTTCCAAAGTCTCTGCCCACTCTCTCACCTTGAGCCAGAGGTCTAAGAGCACTTTGTACTCCTTCTGCTGCTCCTCGGCCAGCTTTTTATACTGCTCTTTCTGGCTTTGGGAGATGCGCTGCCAGCGGCTGCCAATCTCTACCATGCGCTCCTTTAGTGGCAGGTGGTTCAGCTCCCCATTAGACAACAACTCCTGGGAGAACTTCTGGTAACCGTTCCTGAGGGGTGGCATGGCACAGGGGTGGTGAGGATCCTAAACCAGATACCTGCCAGCCCTGACCCTCACACCAAGGCAGGCTCCTGCCTCAGGCTTACATGGGAGGTTTTTTGGGCTCCCCCTGGAACTTCATCTTCTTGGAAGAGTTCGTAGCTGCTGGAGGGGCCCGCATCTCACTCAGCTCTCTCTGTGGGGAGAAACTAGAAAAGTCATACACACCCACGGCCTGCCTGATATTCTCAAGCCTTAGCTCACTCCTTTTTTAAGTTTTTTTTGGTCTTTTTGAGACAGTCTCCCTGTAGCCCCAGCTGGCATGGAACTATGTAGACCAGGCTGGTCTTCAACTCACAGAGATCCACCTGCCTCTGCCTCCTAAGTGCTGGGACTACAGGTATGCGCCACCACACCCAGCTCACTCTCCTTTTATGTGCCAGAAGAGGAGAAAAGGGGAGAAGCTGCCCAGCACAGTTGTGTATACTTGGAATCCCATGACAGGCTGAGGCCCAGGTAAGGAAGTTAAGAGACTGGTCCAGGGTCCCAAGCAAAGCTGGCACTTCTGGCCCAGAGCCTATTTATACCAAGGCAGGGGGCCCAGCCCCTTCCCACCTCATATCGCTTTTGGTCTTCTGCTGCCTTCTTAATCCACATCAGCTTCTCCTTCTTCTCCATGTTGTTCCAAGTCATCTCCATGGCTTTTAAGGCTTTTACTCGGTCATTCTGGGGACACAACAGGGGTATCAGCTGTAGGTGGGGTCTCCTGATGCTGGAAGCTACGAAAATACCCTTCTCCACTCCCTGCCACCTTGAAGCGGGCCAGGTAGTCTCCAATGACACTTTGCTGCCAGATTTCTTCAGCTCTTTTGGGCGACTCAGGCAGCTTGCCCCGCTCCTCACGTTCCCCGCTGGGCTTCCTCTCAGACTGTGCCTTCAGCGCGGCCTCGCGAGCCTTGTACTTGGCCTGTGCGGAAGGCGTGGGTGTAATCCTGCGGGCCACCCCTAGGTGGCGCACCAAGCCCGTCCACCAGCTGCACCTGGCGCTCAGCTGGGAGGGCGGGGCCTCAAAAGTAGGGGTGGTGCAGAGGTCCCAGGACTCCGCCCCGCCCACCGGACACTTCCCAAGGGAGCCGCGAAGCCGAAGCCGCTGGCTGACAGCTTCCCGCCTTCCGGCTGCGCACACAGAGCTCCCGCCTCACCATCTGAGCCCTGGCACATGTGTGGGCCACACGGGTGCGGCCCTAAATGAGTGCACGGAAGGAAGTGGCCCAGGCAGCCCCTAGGGAAGACTGGTGCCGGGCTTTCCAAGGCCTGACCTTCTTCTTCTCGGACAAGTCGTTCCACATGCGGGCCAGCAGGCGGGTCAGCTCGCTCTCTGAGAGCTCAGGCCGCTCCTCTTGCAGCTGCCGCCGCTTCTCCTCTGAGAAGATGAACATGGCCGACACTGGCCGCTTGGGCTTTTCTGAGCCGCCCTAGGGGGTAGAGAGGGTCAGGAATTCAGTTGCCAGGGCCTCCAGTTGGCCTCCCCACCTCACCTGGCTGCCCTCCTGTGCACACCTTGCCACTTTCCTGGGAAGGTTTCTTGGAGGCGGGGCTGGTGGTCTGCTTCTTACTGATGTTCAGCATCTTCTCCTCCCCCAGGACCCGCTGCTGCTCCTCCTCAGGCAAGCTCTGGGCAGGAAGGAGAGGGGCATGTGGCTGCGGCAGGCAGACTCCCTAGGCTCAAGACTGCCTGCCAAACCCATGGGCAGCCCACCACACTACTATGACAGCACTCACCTCGAGGAACCTGAGCAGCTCTACCTCATAGTCTTTCTTTTTCTGGGAAAATAAGGGGACTCAGTTAAGACAGCCTTCAGCACTCTGGGTCTGTAACCCTCAGCCAGGCCATCAGACCTGAGGTGTCTGCTTTGACAGACACAAGCTAAACAGAGCACATCAAGTTGGAAGAAGATGGCAAAAGCAAATGTGACCCATGACCAACTTAGCCTGGGTGGGGCAGACCTCATGCTTTAAACCAGTACAGGGCCCAAAGATCAGGGTGGCTCCTGCCCTGCACACCTGGTCACACTTCTTGTGATAGGCATCCTTTTCCTTCTGAGAGAGGAGCTTCCACTGCTGGCTGCATAGCACCATGCGCTCTGTGCTGGGCACATCCTTCATGTTGGCCATGAGCTCTGCGCAATACAGCGAGTAGCTGTTCCTATTAGATTCGGAGGAAGGCAAGCCCATGAGCAATGGGCAGCAGGCCTCTTTGCTACTCAACCTGGGCCAAAGTCTTTCACTGGCCCAACTTCCTGGCTGCCCACTTGCCCTCCCATCCAGGGCAGTGCTCACGGAGGTGGCTTGGTGGGTCGCCCATCAAACTTGTCCTTGAGCTGGCGTTCGGCCTTGGTGAGGGTAGATTTGGTGATGCCCTCCTCACTGATGTTCAGCTCGGGGTGCTTCTGGATATAATCACGCATAATCTCCTGCAGAATGAGGTGGGGGAGCGGAGGGTAATGGGGTATGGGGTTAGCTGGGGCACCGGAAGGGGGAGAGCCGCTGGGGAGGAGAGGCAGGGAGCAAAGCTGGGGATGGCCATGTGTCTGTGTGTCTGCTGTGTCATTCGCAACATGGTGTCCTGCTCTGCCCTAGCCTGAGATCTCATGGTGGGGCCTGGGGTTGAGGGATGGTAGGGGCAGAGGTAAGGGGCCCAAAAGGCCCCTCCCTCAATTGAGGGCCAGGGAATGACTGCCACCCGCACAATGCGGTGACACAAGTCGAGGGTAGAGGCTCGTGAAGAGCCGGATGGGGAGGAGCGCAGCGGAAGCCTAACCTCGTACTCCTTCCGCTGCTCCAGGGCCTTATGAATCCATTTCAGCCTCTTTTTGTCCGAGAGCTGAGACCACTGCTTCCCCAGGGAGTCCTTCACCTCCTTCGTAGTGGCCTGCAAACCAAAAGCCGTCAGACACACACAGGCAGCCAGGGGCAGGGGAGGGGGGTGAGGGGCACAGAGGCCCCGCCCCCTCGGGCCACAGGAGGTCACATAAGTGTCCCCCACAGGCCAGGAGGGTAAGGCGGAGAGGTAGGGATCCGCCTTGGTGCAAGGGACAGGCTCTCATACACACACTCATTCGCACGCCAGCTGGCCCAGGCCCTGTCCATGCAATCCTCCCCTGGGGAGGGGCCTCCTCTCCTGCACCATACCCAGCCACCTGGCGCGGCTCCCCCCTTGCCACCGCCGTGCGCCCTCCAACCCTACCCTTTGGCCAGACACTCACATCCGGCCTCACTTTGAGATACACCTTCTTCTCGTGGGTGTACCACAGCTGCTGGGGGGTTTTGGGCTTCTCAGGGATGTCCGACTTCTTGGCATTCTGGATAAGGTCAGGGTGATCCTCCCTAGCCAAGGGACGGGAGCAAGGGTCAGCAGGAGCCACTGCCAGGACAGACCCAGCTAGCTGCCCAACCCAAGTCTTCTAGGCCTTACAGGTGGGGCTTACTTAGTGGGAGTTTGTGGCTGCCTGCCTCTCCCTGCCCCTAAACCTGACACTCATTATATATAATAAGACTTCCATGTTTCATGGATGCTCAGCTCTGGTCTCCAGCCAGTGTCAGTGTATTCTACCACACCCAGTGTCCCATGGCCCTTCTCTGGGCTCTGCTGCCTTACCTGAATCGGGCCAGGTTTCGTTCGAACTCCTGTTTCTCCCTCTGGAAGTCCTGAATATATTTCATCTGAGGGGAGGAGGGATGGGGTCATCCAGGACCCAAGGTCTATTTTACCCAGAGCTACAAAAGCCACCCTCCTCTTGGCTGTTGTGCCTCGTGCTATGATGTTGGTGTGTGCTTTCAAGTGGGTTGGCTCACCATATATTAGACCTGGGAGTTACAGGGGGTCTCCCAGACACCCAATCTGCATCCTACTCTTTTAAGAGACAATGTCCCAGAGGGTACTGAATGGGAAGAGGCAAGCTAGGCCTACCCACCCCTTTCACCCAAATGATAGAACTCAAGTCTGGTGGAACTCTTATTGGTTTGAGCTGCCCCTCCAAGGCAGCCCACAGTGTCAGGGAGGCTGAGTCCTGCTTCAAAGGCAGGAGAGAATATGGTGTTAAGGGACCATAGAATGAATTCTTGTAATGCAAATCACATTCAATTAATGTCCTGAATTTGGGGATTTTTCCTAATCCACTACCTTTCGTTCTCCAGCATTTCTCACATTCTTTCCCAATTCTGACAACAACCCCTCCTGCCTCTGATCTCTTTCTCCAGGCTCCTGGAGCCCTTGACTCCTTTAGAACTCCTCCTTTCCCACTACTTCCCTCTGGCACTTCTTCCATCCTGGCTCCCATGTAACATCCATTTCTCCTTCATCCTATTTTCCAGGGTCATCAGAGTACTGGTAGAATCAGGGGCTCATGGTGACCAAACCAGATCCCTCCCTCTCATAAAAGTAGTACCGAGTGCAGAGAGGCAACTCATCTCCACCTACCATGCTTCCCAGAGAAAACCATAAACAGCCTGGCTTCCTCAGGCCCATCTTGGCTCTCCTCAGACAAAACAGTTTTTAGAGCTAGAAGGTACCTCACAGTTCTGGTTGATCCGCTACACTCCAAACACCAGGTGCAGAGATATGAAGTGACTTACCCAAAGCCCCATACATAGCCATTCAGCAGCAGTCAGGCCCAAATCTGTGTCCCCAGGTTAATGCCTCATCTACTCTCAAGTTTCTCTGTCCTTCCCTGGTTGTCTTTTAGCCTTTCCTCCAGCCCCCCCATCCCATGTTTGGTGTGTATAGTAACTGTCCCAATTTCTCATCCATGGAGTCAACTGCAGCTCTCACAGTTCATGCTCCTGCTTGGCTTGGGTATGGGTCATACATGGCTGGCTTTACCCAACCAACCTGGTTCCATTTTGGGTTCTGCAACAATGAGTCCACAGTCAGAATATGTGGATTAGGAAAAAGGGCTACTCAGTGTGATGGATGGTACCTCTGAGGGCTTGCTATGTACAACTCTCTCCTCTTCCAGCCAATGTGCCTTTGTCTCCTGCTGCCTTTCACCAACTTCTCTCTCTGCCTGGTCTCATCATCTAGCACCTCTTTGTGTCCATCTTTCTCCTCATTCCATTCCATGTCTTATGTGCCAGGCTCTATCACTGTTTTCTGCCTGTCTTCAAAGGACCTCTTGAGCTCTCTCTTTGACTGTATCCATTCCTGCCCAGAGGTTTGGATAACTTCCGACCAGATGAAACACCCGGGACAATCTAAACAGTGTTCTATTTCTACAGGGAACAGCCTGAGGCCAAGAGGAAGGATGTGTACCCTTGTGCATAAGGAAGAAAGCTCACTGATCATGTGGATGTGGCAGTGAGAGGAGCACTGGACAGGAGAATCTGGGGCTCCAAGTCTAAGTCCTGCTCTAGCATCATCATTAGTTATATGACCTGAGACACTCAACTCTTCCTGCACCTCAGTTCTTTGCCCACAAACATCAGGATAATCTCCTCTCCTGGGGTCTCTTCAATGAGTATATAAACAAGAGTGTATGAGATTATTCAGTGGGTGGAAAACCACTTTGAAGACCCACTGGGAGGATGTCTGTGTGTGAGAAGCCCTGTTCAAAACAGAGCACCAGCGGCTATGGAGTACAAGGTCACTATGAATGCCTTCCAGGGCTTTCCCTGCAATGGTGCCTGTCTGACCATGTGTGGGCCTAGGAGTGGGTAATCAGGTGGCTACCCAACACCCTACACTCTGCTGTGAAGACTCATCCATGCCCTAATATCAGAGTCCCTTTGTCTAAGATCTATCCCCACTAACCTATCCATACCAGCTGCTCCCAACTGAAAGCCACTCTGCCCTTCCCCCCTCCCAGACCCCCTCCCCCCACCTTCTTCTTTTCTGGAAGCTCCTTGTATTTCTTAGACAAAATCTTGGTCAGGTCCAGGTTGCTCATCTCAGGGTGGAGTTTTGCATACTTGGCCCGCTTCTCCATGAAGAAGCGGAAATAAGGGGTCAAGGGCTTCTTTGGGAAATCTGGGTGTTTCTGGAACAAGGACAACTTGTTAGATACCATCCATTCTTCAAACCATTTCTCCCCTACCTCTTGTGCTTCTCTTCCTGGTAACTCACCTTGAGTTTTTTGCCTTTGTAAGGATTTTTAACATGTTCCTGAGCATCAAGGATCAATTCTGTCAATGTACGGAACTTCCTTACCTGGAGAAAGGAAGTGGGGGTAAGGGAAATTGGGAAAAGCCATTCCATAAAACTGCCTCCTTTCCCAATGTTACTGCTATTCTCTACCAAACAGAACTTGCTGAATGAGGAAAGTAGAAGCCAATAGCCTATATTACAGGCAACTTCTGACCCTCAGGTACTAAGGAGCCCATGCCTCCTACAGAGGCCAAGGCAATTAGACACACTTAAGGACAGCCACAAGGGGGACTGCCCGACCTCACTGTATCTTCCATACCAGCACCTCATTCAATCCCCAGAACAACTTGGGCAGTAGAAGCCCCAAGACAGTTAAGTATTCAAGGCTACTTATATAGGTTGGCAGAACTGTGAATTTAGACTGTCTGTCATCCAGGCTACCTCCTCTCATAAGACATAAGTCAGAGCTAACAGATGAACATTCTCCTGCCTTCCTGGTGACATATTTGTTTCATTTTTTTCCCACCAGGAAAGATGAGGCAAGGGAATATGTAGATGTGTATTCATTTGTTTTTGGCTTTTTTTTTTTTTTTTTGAGACAGGATCTCCCTGTAGCCTCAGCTGGCTGGAACTCGCTAGGTAGAGCAGGCTGGCCTCAGAAGTACTGGGACTAAAGGTGTGCCTACCACATCTGGCAATGTATTCATTTGCGTCAAAGCTCCTTTAAACCCAGCACTTGGGAAGGAGAGGCAGGCTGATTTCTAGGAGTTTGAGACTAGTCCTATTTAGCAAATTCCAGGTCAGCCAAAGCTATGTAGTGAGACCCTGTCTCAAAAGGAAGGGAAGGAGGGAGAGAGGGAGGGGGGAGGAAGGGAGGGAGAGAAGGAAGGAGGCGAATGGAAGGAAAAAGTAGGAATCAGTTACCTCATTAGAAATCTCCACCCATTTGAGCTTGCACATATCTCCTGAAAAATCCTTAAATGCAACTTTTTCCCAGTCCATATGTGACTCTGTGGTTTTGAACTTGGAGCTGTCATTGGATGGAAGGTTGTTCTTCATGCATTCCAGCAAAGTTAGCATGTCTTCCTGGGACCAGCGGTCTGGTAGGATATAAGAGAAGCTGTTATAACTGTCTCATGCCACTCTCTTGATCTGCTCCCCAATCTTTGAGTTTTACCCCTCTTCCCAGAGGCCCCAGCTGTTTTCCATCTGAATCACTGCATCTCTCCTTAGACCTGGCTCAGTCGTAAGAAAACTGTGGCCATATTAGATAAGGGAAGGGACTCTGGACCAGATACTATCACATTTAACCACACTAGAAACTATGCCCGACTTACTTCAAAGTTGTCATTTCTAACAGGCTAGACTGCCATGGGCCCCTATTTGCTGTATGGGATGGAATGAAGCTACAGAGATTTGGTGGCCCTATGGGAAAACATCTTATCAGAAAGGGAGGGAATCAGGGAGGCAACAGATTTAAATGTGGTCAAGTTCTAGGTAGATATCCCAAACAAGCAAGGCTTGAGGGTGGGATATAAGGCACCCCATGAAGATGTATGTTCACAACTAGAAACTAACATTAAAGCCATATTCATTCCATCACCTGCCTCCCTCATAAGTCACTTTAAAGACCAAAACAGAACTTATGGCAATTGGGAAAGATGGAATGAAAGAGAACCACACACAGGCAAGCTCTCAGGGTCCTACTCCCAGAAGTACCTCAGAATTCCAAGTTGCCTTTTCAGTCCAACCCCTTTAGGGAGGCAAAAGGGTGTCTTGGGCCAGTTGTTTCCAGCCACAGCCTAGAGAGAGCTCAGAGCCTCTGGAAGATCACTGCCCTGGAAGGTACACTGGGGGAACAGCCATCTATGGCCAGGATGCAAAGGGCTCTTTACTTTCATTTGCATTTGGTAACCCCAGTCAGTGTTTCAGCAAAGAGGGTCACATGGAACCATAATCCCCTCCACTCCAATGTCCCACAAGCATTGCCAAATGCTCGGCTTCATCCTACCCTTCACCTCACAGACACTGCTGGATAAGGCAGGAGACTAATCATCCATAACTCCCCCTGGCCTGGGGTATTAAGCCACTAAACACTCCTCTCTACCTCCAACTGACAAAACTTAACTTTTTTTTTTGTTTTTTTTGAGACAGGGTCTCCCTGTAGCCCCAGCTGTTCTGGAACTCACTATGTAGACCATGCTGGCCTTGAATTTACAGAGATCCGCCTGCCTCTGCCTCCCAAGTGCTGGGATTAAAGGCATGCGCCACCACGCCCAGCTTAAAACTTTACCTTTTAATAGAAATACTACTACTAATTTTTATTGACTTGAAAAGTTTCTCCAGCACCTCTTCTCACTTCTCTCTTCCTCCAAAGTAAGGGTTGTACTTCAGGTTAACTGGGAACCCCGGAAAGCAAGCTTGCACAAGTCTTCCCTGCCCCTCAATCACAGCAGAAGGGGAGTGTGAAAAACACAATATATAGGCTCAAGGCCAAATAATCCAGATTTGGCCAAACCCCCAGCTGACAGATGTTTGAATTTTGTAATACTTAAGATCCGCCAATTCTGAGAATGCAGTGTGGAGGAACACTTCAGAAGGGGGTTAGTTCATTGGAGGGGGTCCCTACCTTGGCCTTTGGGGGTGGCCATTTCCAGGTCTGTGGGGCAGTCGGCTTCTCCGTTCATCCTCCAGCTGTCCAGCCACCTCTTCGTTTACGCTGGCCGGGCAACCCGGGGTAAAAGCCACCTCACCCTTTCAAAGACATACCAGACCCACTCAGGCAGGCTGAGAGAAGGGCTTTCTATCCCAACACCTCACACGAGGGAGGGGGCACAAGTCCCGGATCTCCGAGAAACCCAACCATGAGACTCACAGACTTCATCGCTCGAGAGGATGTAAGATTGAGCCCCTCTTCTTCCCTACCCCCACCCCCAGCCCTATACAGCCTGGCTCCGCGGCGTGCGCCCTCCCCTGCCCACACGAGACACTGCTCCCAGCTCCCGCGTGCTGCAAGCACCCGCCCTCCTTCCCCTACCCGGGCCAAAAAAAAAAAAAAAAAAAAAAAAAAAGAAAACTTCCTCCTCCTCCTCCATGAGCGCCCGCCCCGGGGAGGCCCCAGGCTGGAGGGCGGGGGAGGAGGAAGGGCGGGTAAAGGGCGCGCGCGGCCACGGAAGCGGGCACGCGCCCCAGTCTCCTCCTCCCGCCTCCCCCCGGCCGGTTCCCCCCGCCTCCGCAACCCGGCGGGGACCCGGACGCAGCGCAGCCGCCGCCAGCCCCGGAGCGCAGCGGCCGCACCGCCCCCGGGGACCAGATCCGGATTCCCGCCGCTCCCCCCCTCCCGATCTCCCTACGCTGTCCCCGCCCGTCCGGGCAGGCGAGCAGCCGGAGAGAAGCGGCCCAGCCTGACCCCCGCCCCCGAGCCACCCACCCGGGCTGGAGATGCTGCCACCGCCCAGCCACCCCGACGCGCACGGAGGAGCCCGGCGCAGAGGCGCGACCGCGGCGGGAACCGCCGCCTCCTCCCCCGAGCCTGCG